TGTCTCTCTGGACATTGAACACCGACATCCCATTAATGAGTAACAGAAGCTCCAAAGGCACTTAAGATTCATGATACCATCCAGAACAAGACAATCGCTGGATTGGCATTTCATCCACTACCCCCCCATCACTGACAGTAGAAGCAGTGCAAACATCCACAAGGGGCACTGCAGAAATTCACCAAGGTTCCTCAGACAGCACCCTCCAAACACATGACCACTTCCATGTCCATATGGAGGGACAAAAGGCAGCAGGTACATGGGAACACCAATGTTTTGAGTTCCCCTCCAAGTCACTCACCAGCCTGACTAGGAAATATATTGCCATTCTTTCAGTGTCGCTGGGTCAAAATCCCAAAATTCCCTCCTTAGGGGCATTGTGGGTCAACCTCCAGCACATGGACTGCAGTGGTTCAAGGTGGCAGATCGCCAAGACACATAATAAATCCTAGCCACATTTCATAATGAATTACAAAGACTGAATTCATTCAAAGGTTTAAGATCACAACCATGCCTTCACTAATGGCTAGGTCAATTACAAAGTTGCAGACTTAGTATCTGGTATATGTGACCAAATTGCAAATGTTTATTTTTGTTTACAATTCGTATGCACTTTTGCAAATTTGCATTATATACAGTACTTTGTGATGTCTTACATGTTCCTGAATGCGGGCCCTTGGCTCATTGTCTGATGATGCTTCATCTTGAACTATTTTCCTTGGCTTTGGTGGTGGCTTCCCATTGCCTTCCACTCACGGGCAGGCAAGGTACAGGTCCCAAGTCTACCTCAGCCAGAACGGGAACTGAACCTATGCTGTTGTTCTGAACCACGTTATCTAGCTAACTGAGCTAAGCAACACCCATCTCTCCCATTCAAATGTGTTCCGCACAATCCGTGCTCAACATTAAAACAGTCAGAAATTAAAGCTTAATATGTTGACAGAAATGTTACAAAATCTGGAGTTATATTATTGGTTTTTATTTCACAATAACTAGACAGTAGCATATCTGACTGTACAGGACACATAATATAGATAAATTTTGTACACTGTTTAATTATAATCAACTTGTCCAAGCACGGTATGTAAATTTTGAGCATCTTCCATTACTTTAGACAATGTTCCATAATAATTCTGTATTATCAACATTCCTGAATTTATGGTTAGTAATTTGCCCCATCATAAAATGCAATTTTTCAGAAACTGTAAATGTTGGGGAAAGAAAACACAATGCTTCTTTAAAGGCAAATGTCCTGAGTATAATTAACTATGATCAAAAAACATACAGACAAGCACCAAATGCTACACATCAGTCAGGATGAAATTCCTGCATTGAAAAGTATACAAAAGTGTCAATGGATGTTTAACATCGTGTTCCAACTTAAAACACAGAAACCACCATTGTCACAGAGTTAATGAATGCAAGAATTTCAACCCCTTGCAAATTGATTCTGGTCCACTCTGTAGTGGCAAAGCATTATTGTCAAGTAAATCTGAGACAGCCACAAAAAGGACACCAACTCAAAGAAACAAAATGGATGTGCATTCGGACCAAACCATGTTTAAAGCACAAGTGTGATGTAGAGACTTCTTTTAAAAAAAAAATCTAATAAATATGCAACCGCTGTGTTCGATTTGTTCAAGCATGATTGATGATCGTAACAATTAGCGGTCATGAAAATGGTTTAGTGACTATTAAAAATGATCCCTGTTCAATTGCAAAACCTTCCATGAAATTAAGTGTACCATTGTGGTAAGTGAGCGTTCAATACTGATTAACAACAGGTTGCATCATATTGTGAAGAAGGGCTTCTAATTCTAATGAAACTTCCTACCCTCAGGTCTCATCAATCCCAGGAGTGCCCTGTGGACATATAATTTATTTCCATTTACTTATATTTGCAGTTACAAAAGCCCTTTTTACTCTAAATCAGACACCCATTTCAAGGGAAGATGCTTTCTTTGAGGACATGAAACAAAATGGATACATATAGTCAGTAGTCGCGATGCAAATGTGCAGCATACAGGAACATTTCAGTCTAAAATTTCCACTTCTTGAAATTATACAACAAGCTAGTAATTCAGACCATCAGCAAGATGAGGTATCTGAATACTAAACAGTAAGAAATGTGACAGCGATGCTGCTTGACCACAAAATATAATTTGTAAACATTAGCAGATTCTGTGAGCATCAGCCTTAATGTAACAGTTTAATCTGTCCCTATGTACATTCAAACTTTCTTTAATTACCAAATGCTTCATAACCCACAGAATAAAGACCTTTGGCTATCATGGTTTGCTGCTTAAATGAAGGGAATATGTTTCAAAATGGATCAGCCAAAAGTAAAATGCTTAACCAGTCTTGACTTCCCTGTTATTTTGTAGTAGTATTTTGAAAAATACTGTTTATGTGGAATGCTTAACAATCTATTAACAATCATGTCAAAATAAAGAGTACACATTGCAAATATTCATTACTGAACCAAATTAGTTCACGATATTCAATTCAAATTTATTTTACATTAAAGCACTTTTAACTCCGGCAATAACAGCAGACCTAACTAAACCAAAAAATGGAAGCGAATGTGTCATCCCCAAAAATAATCAGGCAGAACAGAAAATTCAGGGAGCAACCAGTGTAGGACAGTGCCATGGACTTCAACAGGCCAAGCTCTTCCTTAAATGCTTGTCATCTACACCGGTCTCCAAGCATGCACAACTTTGACACATACAGATGTTTTATCTACTAGTAAAATCAGACCAAAGATAGTGTATGGAATTTTTTTTAGCCCCAGATTACGACATATGTCTTGAATGCGGATATGGCCTAATAGACTAAAACAATTAAAATTCAACTGCAAATAGTAGGTGAAAGTTTAACCAAGTTTGAAAAGTAGAGTAGAAACTCAACAAATTCAAGCATATGTAAATTTTTCCCAAGGGCAAACAATTTATCTGGTTTCCCCGGTGTAGTGGAATAAGGTGCAAATGGCAGAAACCAGGAAGCATCTAAATCGAATCAAGTCTTCTGGAATTTAATTAGAATATTGTATGAATTTTGAAGAATTAGTTCAAGTGTGCTCAATTTGTGATAAATCTGCAAGAACAAATTTGCATTTATATAAAGTGTTATGTCCTCAGGATGTTTAAAGCACTTCAGTGCCAATTAATTACTTTTTGAAATGCAATTACTGTTATGCATGTAAAGTTGAGCCTCTAACGAAGTGCCACAAACAGCAAAGGAATGAATATTGACCAAAAGAACTCCCCTGCTGTTCTTAGAATACAGTGTGGGATCTTTTACGTCTACGTGAACTGGTGGATGAGCTCCTGATTTAACATCTGTTCTGAATGCCTTCAATAAAATGACACTCCCTTAGTAGTGAAAAGGACTGTCAGCCTAGAGCATACAAGTAAGTATTCTTGCCCTTCCTATACACGGAGCATCGCCAATTTAACTAAATTCTCAATATTGCCTTTGATTTCTCTAAAAAAGATGAATCAGGGTAAATATTTTGGTGTCAAAAATACATTCAAAAAAGCTCCAATGCAAAAGACACGTGAAAAGCATTAAATTATCAAACGAAAATTCATTAAATTTGACTGATGTACATGGAACTGAAAAAGCTGGAGGAGAATTGTGTAATAAGTCTACATTACTGAAAGAAACATTAAGCTAAAAAAAAATTGTGCTTTACTAGAAAACACATTTGGAAAGCTAGAGAGTCTACAAATTGTTTTTGGTGCTATTAACAGCATTCCCTCATGGACTATTTCAGCAAATACATGGCAATTTTTGATGAATTAGTATCTTTGGTAAAATAACTGTTTGGCTAACATGTAACAATGGCAACTGTAATTTTCAGGTTTATGAAGGCCATTGCTTGTTCCCCACTGTTACTTTCAGATCTGCACTGCACAGAAGCAAAATGTTTAAAGACAAAAATAAGTAGCTGTTAAAATGCTTCAGATAGGCATCCATTTCCAAAAGCAGTCATTACTCTTTACTGTCCCATTAAAAACAAAACATTTGTACAAAATCCTAAATCTAATTTCACTTAACATCAGTATAATAGTTTTGAAGAAATGAACAATAAAATGATCCGCATTTTCAGGTACAACTGACTATAGTTTAATTTCATTCAAATTTTGCATTTTTCTTAGCTCTTCAAAGTCATACAAAAGTAAGTGGGGGAAATACTTTGGCCAGTTACACAAGCTCATAAAATACAGGTGTAGAGAATGACCAGGAATACAGGCGCTTGCTTAGGTCTCATATTTATTGCAAATGCTGTAGATAAAGACTGACACTCCCAGTCAGGAAGAGATTCTACTTATTTAAAAAAAAGGGAGAAATCAAATTATAAAATATTAATAGAAATAAACTGGTAACTTTTATGCTTATATTGCATAACAGGAGGTGGAGGAATTGACCACCTGCAGTCATACAAGGAGACAGCAGGGGGCTGAAGTTCAGTCTTAGCAGCAGCAGTTGTGAAAAAATGTGACTCGGTATTTCTTATCCTGGTGCAGTGTAAAATGGATTGCCCATTGCCAATCTCGCCCGTTTAAGATACTGCCCAAGATCAATTTCACCCCCTTATTGTTTTCAAAATCTTTTCTAGTCTGCTGCCTTTGTTTGCCACTGATCCTACAGCTCCATTTATACTACAATACTAATCTTTATTAGCAAGGGGTCACTGTCAAAGGAGCAAACAATACATGATCAGTAATGTGAAGTGAAAGCCATATAAGCTATTTTTGCAACATTCAATCAGTACTTTCTAGTCAGTTCTTGCAGCAATCCACAGAGCTTCGACAGCTGTCTTCCAAAGACTCGCACTACTCGTATGGATTTGAGATGAATTAAGTCCACAGTTTTCTTTACTCAGCAATCGAGACAGTCAGCATGACTGACTGAAACAGAAATAGCAAGACAGTAACCCTAAATAAATGGCAGCCTGCTACCATTTAAACGAAGGCACAAACATCACTTAGAACGCCATTTATCAAAATATCTTTAATTCACTTTTTGTAGAAAGAGAAATTATAGTATTAACATGCAAATAAATCAACGACCCTAGCCAGCATTCTTTTAACATGCTGCAATATAGCTTAAATGAGGTTTTTTTAAAGAGTCTCTAAGTAATCAGTACTGTAAGTATTCGGAATTGTCCACACACACATCTCAAAGCATTGTCTGAGAGTGTGGAGATACTGGCACTGGAGAAGATGAAGGTGATGAATTAGAGACATGGGGAAGCATTCCTGTTGCAGTGTCTGAAATCTGCAGCTCCTCTAGCTTCTTCAGCAACTGCTCTCGTACAACCAACAACTCTTTGTATCGCTGTTGAACTGGGTCCTGCTACTCAAAGAGGAGACAAGAAAGACTGTTACCACATAATATTAATATTTGTACAGTCACAGAGTCATACAGCATGAAAACAGACACTTCGGTCCAACTCATGCATGCCTACCAGACATCCCAAACTGACTTAGTCCCATTTGCCAGCATTTGGCCCATATTCCACTAAACGCTTCCTACTCATGTACCCAGATGCCTTTTAAATGTTGTAATTGTATCAGCCTTCACGACTTCCTCAGGCTGCTTGTTCTATACACACACCATCCTCTACATGGACCCAGCACTGATCCTTGTGGCACACCACTGGTAACAGACGTCCAGTCTGAAAAATAATCCCCATCACCACCTGGTTTCCTACTTCAAACCAATTTTGTATCCCATTGGCTAGCTCCCCTGGATACCATGTGATCTAACCTGACTTACCACTCTACCGTGTGGAACTTTGTTTATATGGACTTTAGCAAAGCGTTCAACGATGTCTACCACTCTGCTTTCATCAATCTTAGTTGTCACCTCTTCACAAAACTCAATCAAGTCAGGAGACATGATTTCCCACGTACAAAGCCATGCTGACTTTCACTAATCAGCCCTTGCCTTTCCAAGTGTAAATCCCATCCCACAGAATCCTCCCTCCACCAACTTATCCACCACTAATGTAAGGCTTACTAGTCTACAGTTCCCTGACTTTTCCTTACAGCCTATCTTAAACAATGGCACCACATTAGCCAATCTCCAGTCTTCCAGCATCTCACCCATGGCTATTGATGATGCAAATATCTCAACAAGGAGCCCAGCAATCTCTCCCCTAGCGTCCTTCAAAGTTCTGGGAAACATCTGATCAGATCGCAGGGATTTATCAACCTTTATGCATTTTAAGTCCTCCAGCACCTCCCCTTCGGTAATATGAACTCTTTTCAAGGCATCACTATTCATTTCCCCAAGTTCCCTAGCTTCCGTGTCCTTCTCCACAGTAAATACTAACATGAAATATTTGTTTAGTATCACACCCCTCTCCTGTGTTTCCACACATTGATGGTCACGTTGATCTTTAAGAGGCCCTATTCTCTCCCTAGTCACTCTTTTGCCCTTAATGTATTTATAGATTCTGTCTGGATTTCCTTAACTCTTTTGGCCAAAGCAATCTCATGTGCCCTTTTTGCCCTCCTGTTTTCCCTGTTAAGTATACTCCTACTGCCATTATACTCTTCTAGGGATTCACTCAATCTCAGCTGTCAATAACTGATGTATGCTTCCTTCTTTTTCTTGACCAGAGCCTCAATTTCTCTAGTCATCCAACATTCCCCACACCCACCAGCCTTGCCTTTCACACTAGCAGCAACATACTGTCTCTGAACTCTCATTACCTCATTGTTTGAGGCCTCCCACTTCTCAACTGTCCATTTATCTGCAAATAACCTTCCCCAATTAACTTTTGAAAGTTTCTGTCCAATACAGTCAGAATTGGCCTTACTACAAATTAGGAATGTAACTTTTATGATCAGTTCTATCCTTTTCCATAGCTATTTTAAAATAGAATTATGATCACTTGCCCCAGAGTACTCCCCCACTGACACGTCAGTCCCTTTGCCCTGTCTTATTTTCCAACAGAAGGTCAAGTATTGCCTCTTCTCCAGTAGGGTACATCCAAATATTGAATAAAGTTTTCTTGTGCACACTTAAAATCCTCTCCGAGTCCTTAACACCTTGACAGTCTCAATCTATATTTGGACAGTTAAAATCCCCTGCCATAACACCCTATTATTCTTACAGATATCGGAGATTCCTTACACATTTTTTTCTCAATTTCAGGTTGACTACTGGGAGGCCTACATTACAATCCGAACAAGGTGATCATCCGGCTTTAGGTTCTCAGTTCCCCCAATAAAACTTCACTGGACAAGATCCCAGGAATATGCTCCTTTGTGCCACAATAGTGCTCTCCCTAGCCAAAAACCCCATTTCCCCTTCTCTCTAGCCTCCCTTTCTATCCTTCCTATAGTATCTATACGCCAGAACATTAAGCTGCCAGTCTTTTCCATCCCTGAGCCATATTTCTGTAATAGCTGTGATATCCTAGTCCCATGTTCCCAACCACACCCTGAATTCAGTTGCCTTACCTATTAGGCCTCTTGCACTGCAGTTGAATTGATCAGTCTTACCTCATTCTCTGCTAAGCTTGTCTGACTTGACTATTAGACTTATTCTCCTTACCTGCTGTACTAGCTTCAGCCTTTTCTCACTATCATTTTGGTTTACCCACTGCACCATTGCAGTCCAATAACATTCTCAACCAAACAATTCCTGCAGACATAGTCTCCAGGAACATTCACAATCTCCCACATCTGACAGGAAGAGCACATCACCCTACTAAAAGCCACTTCTGCCCCCTTTAACAATCTACAGACCCAGAAGTTACCTAAAAGCAAGCAACACAATTTGCTCAAAAGCACAGCATTAGCACAGTCATACTGCTCAAAAACATTGTTCTAGGATAACTTAATACCAATCCTTAAAAGTCCCTTTTAAGCCATCCATGTTTTTGATCTTTTATTATAAAGTTCCAAAAACAATGCAACAACTTGTTTAAAAAAAAGCAATAACTGCCTCAAGGAAGTGAGTAAATCCAGCTAAGCAGTGAAAAAAACCTCAAAAACCAAGAACAGCTCTCACAGCCACAATCTCCCATCCACCCTTTTTTTGCAGTGACTTTTTGCAAAGAAGCTATGCTGTTCGGTGACAGCAGTCATTCACTTCCCCCAGACAAATAACATCTCTAGTGAATGTTGACATCCTTTATCAAACTGGGATTCAGTTCAACAAGGGGATATCCCGGGATATCCCCAAGAAAACTGACCGACCCGATTCTAAACATGATACCAGTTGAACACCAAAGCTCAATAGTTCCTTGCATCCCTTTAAGCTTTATTAATTTCTGTTCCTGGGTGAGTCACATCAGTGAAAATGCTTTGCAGATTTACAGTGCAAAACTAAAACTATTTGAATTCTAAAAAATACAGCAAATGTTAGAATTTTGAAACAAAACAGAAAATATTGGAATACTCAGCAGATTCAATGTGAAGAGAGGCACAGAGTTAGCACAGCAATGCTGGATAGGATATAAATAAAAAAATGATGTAAATAGAAGGTTGGCAGTATTCAATTTAGGAAAGATACTCGATCCAGATAGGATGCGTCCTAGGTTTCTAAGGGAAGTTTAAATGGAAAATGTGGAAGCTCCAGCCTTCCTGAAATGAGGAAATGATACCAGACAGTTGCAAATGTTTCATTCACTCAAAACAAGAGTAATATAAACCTGTGATAGGAGTAACTACTTCTAAAAGAATGATCTAATTAATTAAAGTCAGCACAGATACTTTGAGCTGAGTCTTACCAGAATTCAGCTAAATATCATTTCATGGGGGTTTCTCTCTGAAAGACATGGCATGTTTTCTTGCACTAATTCACCTCATTAACTACGCACAATGCCCCTATGGCACTCCATTCATTATATCCTGATATCCCAGTGTCTGTGGCTCAATCTTTGAAACCAAGCTGTGCATCCAGTCAAGCACTGGCAGCTCAGAGCTGTCCTTCATCGGGATGCAGTGGAACAGTAACCACGGGCCAACACTTCTCAGGACACAAGTGGCACGGCTGATAATTCTTTACATATGCAGGTGGTCATTAGCTGTTAAAGTACCAAACCACACAATTTACCTGTCCTTAGCCCACATCCCACTTTACAGTTCTTAGTCACTGCCACTCTTTCCTCCATGCCTACAGAATAGCCAACATCCTCTCATTGTTCGATGTGGGGCCATTACATACAGAAAGCTTACAAACACTTTCAAATGTTCACTTTTATTCAGCAACAGCAAAAGTTAACAAACAAATAGAAGCTGCATTTATATCTGAAGAGAAATAGACAGCTTGCCTTTCAACAATTTTACACTGAACAAAAGATCACTGCACCCAGCTCTCTATTAGAGAGAGTGTCAATTCAGTCCTGTCTGTTCTGTAGTGACTGATACTGCTGCACTCCATTATGCAGAAAGTGATGACCCAATGTCTTCATCCTTATTCTTGGTAGGCTGATCATGCTCTGGCTACTTCAACCTCCCTAATATTCCCTCTTTGTCTGCTCCAGTTGTACAAAGCACAGCATGCTAGAATTGTGTGGCACACTCTGCTTTCAAGACACCGCCAGACTGATTCAACCAGCCAAACCACATCTACACCGGGGCCCACTGCCTGCCCATCATAGCTCTGGTTGAAGTATGGGTTGCATTCATAGAAGATCATAGAATCCCTACAGTGTGGAAACAGGCCCTTCGGCCCAACAAGTCCACACCGACCCTCAGAGCATCCCACCCAGACCTATACCCCCTTAACCCACCTAATCGAGGCATCACTGAACACACTGGACAATTTAACATGGCCAATCCACCTAGTCTGCACATCTTTGGACTGTGGGAAGAAACCGGAGCACCCGGAGGAAACCCATGCAGGCACAGGGAGAACATGCAAACTCCACACACACAGTCGCCCGAGGGTGGAATCAAACCCAGGTCCCTGGCGCTGTGAGGCAGCAGTGCCAACCAATGAGCCACCGTGCCGCCCACTGTATCCATGTTCGGCCACAGTCAGGGTTGATTATGGAGTTGTCAGCCGTCATTGCAGAGGGTAGTTCTGGTCTTCCAGTACCATCCTTGTAAGGCATCTGGTACTTGAAACACAGCAGAAATATACAGCATTCTCAAGGATAAAGACATCATGGCATTCCTCAGAGTACCTGGCACAGACCTCCAAAATGTAAAATCAATGATCATAGATGACTTGCACATTGATGGAGCGGAACCCCTTTTCTATTGACGAACTCAGCTGTGTTACGATATGGCACTCTGAATGTGTGATGTGTACACAGTCTATAGCACCCTGCACCTGGGGGAAAACAGCAATGTTGGCAAAGCCTACTGCCTGGGCTCCAGCACAGACCTCGTCATGGGAAACAGATGAAGTGATGTGATCTGGGACAAAGTGCATCAGTAACAGCCTTGATATATTTGTGAATTGAGGAGTAATATCTTCCATACCGGTCCCCAGTGGCTCCTTGGAAGTAGCCAGTTGTATAAATGTTAGACTCAGCTGTCACCTTGATGACCACCGGGATAGGAAGGCCACCCATTCTTTCGGATCATAGGTCTGGCTCCAGCAGATGACATAGTTCTATGACAGTGGCATCCTCAGTCTGCCGTGACACCACACCTCACTCATCTGAAGGAAATGGCATGGAAGACGAAAGACACTGGGCCTCCTGCAACTTCTGTATATTCTGAAAGGTCCTTCAGGGGGGTGCTCATGTGGAAGTCATTCAGTATCAGTTAGGGGGCTTGTTGCTGATCTTAAGCCAGCTGGCTCATCTGTTCCTCTTTTGCAGTACAGCAACTATAAAGTCATCTCTGTGAAGCAGAAATATCAATCACACTCTGCAATAATGAGACATGGTTGAGACTGCTTGTGACCAGCATCTGCACGCCATAAATTTGGGCACTGCATGCATTTCAGATGTAGGATGTTGTGATTACAGATGACTTCAACTTGTACTATGCAAGTGCATGATTGATGCAACTGTTCCTTGAAGGGCCTCACATCAAACAGAAGTGGAGCCCACCTGTTGGAACAGAGAAAAAACACTGACTCAGCCTATTCCAGGTGTGTCATAGCCACTTTCAACTTGTACTTTGCATTTAGGAGTCAAATGAATATGGAAGGCAAATGCAGGCATGTTCCTTCCTTACTGGCATTTCCTGGACATTCCATCCGTCCTGATCGTCCACGTTACCACACATCTTCTGGAACTATGTTTGCAACTCTCATCATTACCCCTGGACCCCAGGCTCGTCCAAAGACATCCTGCCATGGTGATGACCACAGACAATGCCCCTACTTGCAGTATCCTACACACAATCATCACCCCCCTTTTCACGTTAAATTACACCCCCCTTCACCCTCCTTGGACCCCTCTGCATTCCAGATTGCAGCCTCCAATTGAGTTCCCCATTTCACTACCAGAATAGAAATCCCTGACCAACTCTTTTGACCTCCATATCACTGACTGACTTTGACAGACAGCTCCGACTATGACAGACCAGACCCATTTGAATTGTTTGCTCTTCCCTGACTGTACACAATCAATGTGCAGAACTCACTGTGGTCCACACCCTGGACTTTACTGAAATGAAACCCCTGGCCATGTCTACCTCAAACAGATGACTAACCATGTTCCAAGCCCCTGGGCTCAGACCAGCAATATCCTGGACTTATAGTACATCCTTACTGATGGTTCTCCCCTCTTTGACTTAACTGAGGTTTACTCCCTTAGACTTTCAGACATGGCTATTGGACCAATGCACAAGCAATGCATTTGCCACGTAGGATACTGGTATACGTTATAAGTGAGAGATTTACATAGCACTGTGCTGCACAGCAATATGTCCACACCCTTGACTGATGACTGCTGACAATCATGACAAGGTTCCTGGCTTTGGGCTTGCATTCATTAGCAAACCAAGACTGAAGTACTGTGCACTTTCAATGTGTGGCTGAGGGGGAGAAGTGCAAAAGGCAAAACACGGCAAAGCAGGGATATTGTGACCATTAAAGTAGGGGCAAAGTGAGTTCTAAGACAACAAGCGAACAGCAACAAGATGCAGCCTGGTGCCTGGCCAGTGCAAAGATTCCTTGCAGCAGCTTTCCAATGAAAGGTGCTGGTGCACTCCAAAGTACAGCATTGAGGTGCAGAGCTGTACTGAAAATAGACTCAGGATGAGCCATAAGAGTATGACAAGGTTGCTAAGCGTTGGATGCTAATGTCCATGGACAGGGAGTGCATGTGGTCACAGTTTGTAGATTGTGCCCAGAGATGGTGATCACTTGTACCAAAGTGAACAGCTAAAGGAACAAGCAGCAAGCCGGAACTGCCAAGTACTCACTCTGATGTTCATGTCAGGAAATGTTGCCATTTAGGTTCCAGCTGGGAGAATGGGAAACTAGATATTAATGAGGTGAGATGATAATGAGATTTCATGCATGCAAACTCACACAAGTGTAGCTCTTGCTGCTTAACAGCAAGAATTTTGGCTATTCCCTGTTTGATTGGAAAATGGAACTTCTTCCTCTCGATATTGAGAAGCTCCTCATTGGCCATCTCTCAAATTTCTCACCATGGCCCATGTTGTTCAGAGGCTGAGAAGATTCCGCTCACTGTATTTTTATTTCAGATTTCCAGCTTGCCTGGCATTATATCTTTCATTTAAAACATTCTTTTTTGATTTTGCACTCAAGTCTGTGTTGCATTTTCACTTACTGTAAAAGATATACCCAGAAACAAAACAAAAATTCACAACATTTCGTAGAGAGCGATGCATATCTGAATGAAGCAGGAAACACAAACAGCTTTAAAAGATCTTAAGACTTTAAAATACAGAGGCATAAAGCACAAAAGCAAGGAAATTGTGTTAAACCTTTATAAAACACTGGTTAAGCCCCAGAAATCTTGTATACAATTATGGGCATCGCATTTCAGTAAGGATATCAAGGCTACATAAGGTTTGACAGAATGGCCCAGTATTCGAGGTTTAAATTAGTCAGAGACTACCATTGATCTGATTTGTGCATATATAGTAAAAGCAGAGCTGTGGCAGGAGTGTTCCAAGTTATGTATGGTTTTGATGGAGGAGTCAAAGGTAATGAGCAAAGAAACTAGACAGGGCAGGAGGAAGTATATTTTTTAAGGAGATAAGCTAGGATGATCTGAAATGCACTACCTGAAAGGGTGGGAAGTAGATTTAATAATAAATTTCAGAAAGGAAAGAAATTCTTACAGGTGCAGGGGGGAATAAGAGGCAAGGAAGCAGACTAATTACATAGCTCTTTCAAGTTCTATTCTGATGAAGGGTCACCGGACCCGAAACGTTAACTGTCTTTTCCTTCACAGATGCTGCCAGACCTGCTGAGCTTTTCCAGCAATTTTGTTTTGGTAGCACTTTCAAGGAGTTGGCACAAATACAAGGGGCTGACTATCTCGCTTGTTGTATCATTCCATTTGTGAACAAAAACAGCGGTGATAAGTCTAAGCTCCACACTTCAAAAAAGCCAATGACATCAATGTTGATTGAGGAACTGAGGGACCCAGAGGTGCAAGAGCACCAACTGCTCAAGGTGCCAGGACATATTGAGAGAATTGTTAGTTAAGGATCTGGGTTGAATTCCATAAATATTTGAATTCAATAAAAATATACAATTAAAAAGCCAGTTTAAAAGCAACCATGTAACCACAATCAGTTGCTGTTAAAAGACCAATACACTCATGTCCTTCAGAGAAGGAAATCTGCCAACGTCCCCTAGTCTGGCCTACATGTGACTCCAGATCCACAGCAATGTGGTAGACTCTCAACTGCTGTCTGGCCAATTAGGGATGAACAATAAACGCCAGCGACGCCTGTTTTTATTCATTTATTGAACGCAGAGTGTTCTGGCCCCTCCAATCTAGGAAAGATTTGAGGATCATTGGGAAGCTGCAGGGGAAATTGAACAGAATGATTCCAGGAACGGGAAAACTTAACCACAAACGTTAGTTGGAGAAATTGGGGCTGTTCTCCGTGGAGCAAAACAGCAACTTGATGGAGGTGAGAAGTTTGGATCAGTGAACAAGAAAAATCTGCTCGCATTACCTGTGATGTGCAACTTTTAAGATTATGGGCAAATGATGCTTCCTACCAAGTGAGTCATAATGATTGAGAAGTTAGTACCGTGAGGGTGTGAAAACAGAGATGACCAGTGATTTCAAAAGGAAATGAAATGAGCATTTCAGGCTACAGGGATAGAGAGTGGATTGCTGCTCGGGAAGTTGTTGAACTGAATGGCCTTTTGCTGTGCCCTAACTGACTTTGTGAAAAATGTGTTCTGCACTAACAAAAACAAAGTTGCTGGAAAAGCTCAGCAGGTCTGGAAGGAAAAAACAGAGTTAACGTTTTGGGTCCGGTGACCCTTCCTCAGAACTGTTCGTGTATTTGTGTTGTTGTTGTGTCCTGCACTAACATGCTTTGCTACAGAGGTCAAGACAAGGACTTATTCCATTAGCTGAATTCATAATCTCACTTTGGTAGGTGCCTTACAGATCAGAGAAAATGGTCATTTCAATGGGCTTTCTTAGATGGTCAAAACTTTCAAGTCCTTATAGAAATGAATGATGTATTACAAGAATTATTTTTATGAGTCAATGTTTCTGATTACGTACCTGCTGCCTGAACCAAGGATTCCATCGGATGTAATAGTTCACCCAGAGATCTAGGTGCCGCATGCTGGCTACTGGATAGAGAACACGATGTTGGTCTTTTGTATAAAAGGGATTGATGTACTTGTCCATTTCACTGTTCATATATGACCATAAGGATACGGTCCTTTTTCGCAACTCCTTGAATTAACATTAAAAAAATGACTTTTAACAATTATTTTACAAATACGGTAAAAAGAAAACAAAGCATGACATCAGCAGCAAACTTGATTGTCACCTACTGCTCTGCCTCAGCTAATAAACCACTGTCCTCCTGGAACGGGCACTGAGCATGGTAAAGGGCTTACTCAGGGTCCAGCACAAAAGCAATACTAGTTACTATGCTTGCCAAGTATTAAAGTACATTGCTCTCAGATTGGGCCTGTGGCAGGTCGTGAAGGAAGGAAAAATCTACTTAACCTTGTCCTCACCAATCCACTCATTGCAAATGTATCTGTTGAAGGCAACTGGTGGGAATAACCACTATACAGTCCTTGTGGGGACAAAGTCCCATCTTCACACCAAAAACACCACTACCTCAAAATGACCAAGTTGTGTTGCACTGATTGACAAAGATTCAGAACAGATCCAACAACCAGAAACTAGCACTAACGGATTTCGGCAGCAGATTGATTATGTTTACTATGATGTATAACCTCATGGTACACATTTTATTATCACCATCAAGCCTGAGAATTAACTTTTAAGATGATGCAGGAGAGTACATCAGGAGCAACAGTGTCAACCTGGTGTAGCTGCAACATAGGACTACATACCTGCTAAACCGTACATGACAGACAGAGTTAAGCAATTCTACAGTCAACAGATGAGATGAAAGTTCTGCAGTCCAGTCACATACAGTAATGAATGGGTTGGACAATAAAACAACTGGCCAGAGGATAAGGTTCCAAAAACATTCCCCCAATGATGGGGGAATGCGCTAAAAACGAGAATAGATCATTTGACATCATCTTTAGCCAGAAACTCTGAGTAAGACCATCTCAGGGAAACCAATAAAGGTCAGGTCCTTTATTCATAAGTAATTTGAAACATGTGTAAAGAGATAAAGGGAGGAAAAGATAAATTCTGTTTACTTCATTGTAAAGAAAGAAAAGGCAAAGAGAAGTTGGAGATGGAGAATTGCAATTAAGACAAAAAGGAAATACAGAAGTCACGCACACAAGGATGGACTTTATCCTTCCTCCTGGTGGATGAGAAGGTGGAGGGTACTTTAATAGGATGGCCTGCCCATAATCTTTCCACCTGCCTCTGTCCCCACCATTACTTTCTCAGTAGCAATGGAAATGCCAGGAAGTCAACAAGTGGTCAACTGAAACCAATTAATTCCTGTTGTAATTAATTTTGGTCAAGTAAGTCCTAGTTAAGGGCTTCCCAAGTGGCCAGCCTGGCAGTTTCTGCATGCAACCGAGTAGAGGACAGCAGATGGAATAGTGCCCCCTGAATGGATCTTCTTAGCCCAGAGGGCTCCCCAAAGTTTTTACTTCTGCCCAGTTTCCCTCTCCCATTGGCCCTCAAACTCCACACCCACCCACCCTCCCTCTCTTCACCAGGCCTCTGAGGTCACCCAGTCACACGCCCAAACACACACCCAAATCTCAAACCAATGCCGCGTGCCTCTGTCTCGAAGTAAGGGGCCAGCTGATGGCCTTTGATGGGATGGCAGCTGTCTGACACAAGACCTCCTGCTAATGCAGGGGAGGTGGGTGGGGGAGGGTGCTGGGCAGAAATATCACCTCCAGCATCTTCACAGCCAATTGTACATTAGTTCCCCAACCCCTACCAAGTGGTGAATCAGCCCATCTTTTAATTCAGCCAGAAACGGAGAGAATACAAGATACACAAAGAGAAAGAGGAAGAATCAGGATTTAGAAAGTTAAAACAAGTAGAGAGGAAGAGAACCCCACATATTAGCATTTCTTACATTTATTTCACTCCTTTGCTGTTTTAATACACACCAAAACACTCAATGATACAGAAAGTCAACTAGGTTGGAAAATAACTGCCCCAGGACTAAAATAGCAACCAACATGCATACACAATCTTAAGTAAACATGCTGCAACTTTCAATCACCCCCTCCTGAAACCACACCATAGATATTTCATATTGTGTTTTTAATTGAACATTGGAAGAAATGAAATGTAAGATATAAAAACAATGACAACGTCTTAGTACTGATGCTTCTGTGACTCCACAGATCCGTGCTGACTCCTACACCGCTCTCCTTGAAAATATTGGAAATAATGACACAAAGAAAGGAAGGTTAAATAGAGGGGAAAAAGAAAAATAAACTGGGGTGGAACCTGGAGAAAATAAAAAGTCAAAAGGAAGAAACAAACACCAAGTTTGCAAAACCTGCTTGCACCAACCTCTTTCGATCGCTGTTGCTCACAGGTATAAAGGAAGGTTCCAAATCGGCAGCTGTACAGATGATCCAGAATGGTAATCAGGAAAAGCTCGTTAAACTGAAATGCTGTAGGAAACTAGAGACAAGAGAAAATAACGTCAACAAAAGGTATCCCTTTTAAGCACCAGAGATAGCAAGAACAGCAGCTGCTGGTGTCAGAGACAACTTAGTGCGGAGCTGGAGGAACAGGCAGCATCAGAGGAACAGGAAAGTTGACATTTTGCGTCAGGACCGTTCTTCAGAAATGGGGAGGAGGAAGGGAGCTGGGGAATAAAGAGAGAGAGGAGGGGTGGGGCTGGGGAAGGTAGGTGGGATGGTGATAGGTGAGTGCAGGTAGGGAGTGGTGGGGATTGGTCAGTAAGGTGTGAGGAGCAGATAGGTGGGAGAGATGGACAGGTTGTGTCAGGTCAAGGAGGTGGGGATGAGAGGGACGGTTGGACATGGGAATGAGGCCGAGGGTGAGGAGATTTTAAAACTGGCGAATTCCATGTTTAGACCATCGGGCTGCAGGCTCCCGAGGCGGAATATGAGGTGCTGTTTCTCCAGTTTGCAGGTGGTGTCATTGTGGCACTGGAGGAGGCCCAGGGTGGACATGTCACCCAGGGAGTGGGAGAGGCAGCTAAAATGGTTGGCAACAGGAAAGTGTTGTCGTTTGTTGTGTACAGAGCGTAGATGCTCTACGAAACAGTCTCCAAGTCTACACTTGGTCTCACCGATGTAGAGGCCGCCACATCGGGAGCAGCGGATACAGTAGACCAAGTTGACGGATGTGCAGGTGGACCCCTGTGTAATGTGAAAGGTTTGCTTTGGGCCTTGAATGGAGGCGAGGTGGGGAGGTGTAGGGGCAGGTGTAGCACTTCCTGCGGTTGCAGGGCAAGATGCTGGGGGTGGTGGGGCTAGTGGGGAGTGTGGAGTGGACGAGGGAGTCGCAGAGAGAGCGGTTCCAACGAAAGGCAGATAGGGATGGGGGGGCGGAATCTCTGTTTGGTTGTGGAGCCGGATTGTAGGTGGCAGAAGTGGCAGAGAATGATACGCTGGATGCGATGGTTAGTAGGGTAATATGTGAGGACAAGGCGGATTCGGTCTTTATTTTTGTTGTGGGTGGGGGGAGGGGGTGTGACGGTAGATGTGCAGGAAATGCAAGAGATGCAGTTGAGGGCATTTTCAATTACAGTGGAAGGGGGGTGGAACGTTATGGTCCTTGAAACAGGAGGACATCTGTGATGTTTGGGAGTGGGACACCCCATTTTGGGAGCAGCCGCAGCGGAGGAATTGGGAGTAGGGGATCGCATTCTTGCAGGAGGGTGGGTGAGAGGAGGTGTAGTCCAGGTAACTGTGGGAGTTGGTGAGCTTGAAATAGACATCAGTTTTGAGGTGGTCACCAGAGATAGAGACGGAGAGGTCCAAGAAGGAGGGGGAGGTATTGGAGACGGTCCAGATGAATTTTGAAGTTGGGGTGAAAGGTGTTAGTAAAGTTGATGAACTGTTCAAGCTCCTCGTGGGAGCACGAGGCAGGGCCGATACAGTCATCAATGTAGCAGAGGAAGAGATAGGGGATAGTGCCAGTAAAGCTGCGGAAAGGGACTGTTCCACGTATCCTAAAAAGAGGAAGGCATAGCTTGGGCTCATGCGGATGCCCATGGCCACCCTGTTAGTCTGTAGGAAGTGAGAGGAGTTAAAGGAGAAGTTGTTCAGGGCAAGGACAAGTTCTATTAAGCGGATGAGGGTGTCGGTGGAGGGGAACTGGTCGGGCCTGCAGGAGAGGAAGAAACGGAGGGCTTTTAGGCCATCTGCGTGGGGGATACAAGTGTACAAGGATTGGATGGCCATAGTGAAGATGAGGTGTTGGGGGCCAGGGAATTAGAAGTCTTGGAGGAGGTGGAGGGCATGGGTGGTGTCTCAGTTGTAGGTGGGAGTTCCTGGACCAGGGGGGAAAAGACAGAGTCAAGGTAAGCAGAGATGAGTACAGTGGGGCAGGAGCAGGCAGAGACAAAGGGTCGGCTAGAGCAGTCAGGTTTGTGGGTTTTGGGAAGGAGATAGAAACGGACGGTGCGGGGTTGGGGAATGTTGAGGTTGGAAAGCTGTGGGTGGGACGTCACCTGAGGTGATGAGATTATGAATGGTCTGAGAGACAATGTTTTGTTGATCAGAGGGGTGGGGTTATGATCGAGGGGGCGGTAGGAGGAGGTGTCAGAGAGTTGGCACCGGGCCTCGGCGATGTAAAGGTCAGTGCACCATACCACTACTGTGCCTTTTAAGCATGTTTAGTTCACGCCACAATAGGATAAAAGAGCAAAGCAATTATTCTCATTAGTATAGCTTATTTCAAATGGATACAACCTATATTCAACATGAAGATACCAAACAAAGTATCTGAAACGACCCCATTCAAGTAGTTTATTTTACTTAAACAGAAAAATGAATCTGTATTCTGTCCTCCACCCCAGGATAGAACCACTCTTGCAGTAGGTGAATATCTTTTGCCGCCCATCCTTTTCCCATCAAAGGTCAATGGTCAGTGTTTTTGCCACTTTTTTGTCCAAACAAATAGAATTCACAAAAATGGCTTGTCCAAAGAGAATACCACCCTCAGAGCCCAGTCCACCAGCCTAACTTGTCATTGGCTTCAAATAAAAGCATTGTAACAGCATGAAAGTAAACAGCTGCTGGAATGTCAAACTCTCACATTATCTCCAAGATTTAAAAACACAGGCAAGATTCTAAAACTAAGAAGCAGCTTGGGCAGAAGTCAAAATAGTTAAGCAAGTACAGGCATGATAAGTGAATGAAACTTGAAGCGAGGACAAGTCATTGAAACTTTGCCACCCAAGTTTAGCATATTAGAGAACAACAGGAATGGTTGTATGTCGAGGTCAAAATCCTGGAATTCCCTCCCTAAAGGCATTATGGGTCAACCCACAGCAGGTGGACTGCAGCAGTTCAAGAAGGCAGCTCACTACCACCTTCTCAAGGGCAACTAGGGATGGGCAATAAATGCTGGCCCAGCCAGCAATGCCCACCTCCCACAAATGAATGCACGAGTGCTTCAGCAGATGAGCTAAGTTGGGACGAAGTCGGGCAATGTTACGTAGGAAACAAGCTATCACAGTGATCACACAAATTTGTGATTACCTGGTCATCTTGGGATCAAAGATGACTCTATGGTTCTGAACAGTCTAGATTAGTCTCAGGGGGTTGTATGCAAGGGGGATGAAACCAGTAACTAGGCATCAAATTTAATTTTAGAAGTAGTTTTTGAAGTAATGTACCATATCCGTTGCTTAGATCAACTGTCAAAATATTCAGATGTATGAAGATATCCAATAACTGTCTATCATGCACTTAAATTATACATAATAACATTTACTCCACTTAGTGTGGAAACCACTTACTTGCTTTGTCATTTGCCAAACACAGTCAATGAACTGCAGAAATATAGGAGAGCGATCTGCATCTGCATGGTTCTTGTCACCGTGTCCTATTCTCTAAAGTAAATAATTAAATCAACTTCGGTTTTGGCAAAACATACATCAAACTTCCTTCAAATGGAACTTATATAATTTTAACCTCAAGAACAATTATAATTTAGTCATATTAATGAAACTGGAATAACAATAATCTGATCTGCCACTAATAATGCTGCAATATTCAAAAGGCTGCAGAAATTTTCATTGGTGCTGAGGGTCTCCCCTTGAAATTTTTTTGCTTCTTTTCAGAAACTTACAGACTTTTAATGATGAGAATTCTCACAATGGCTACTGATACTATATCAATGGGGAACTGTATACATCTTAGCAAAGGCTTATATTACAAATTAAGATGCGTAAACATAACTGGTGTCTCAATCCCTTTTTTTTAAATCAGTGATTCTGAAGTAAAAAATACTATTTAGAGAACACCTGAGAGACGTGACTTTGTATCTAATGGTATGAAGAATGGTGACCTTGGCTGGAAGTTCAGTCCATCAGATGAGTCATTTTACAAAGTAAAAATTTAGGTCCAAATCACTTTTGCAACATTTGCAAAGATAGTCTCTTGATCATGGAAACGCTGCAGTTGAAATTTCCAGAAACAATTTATATTGCAATCTTAATTGCAATATTATTTTCTTTCAGAATCATCCGTTATGCTGTGTAGATTACACTGATAAGAAATATGCAAACACAATTGCATTATGTTAAGACTCAAGATCAATTTCTCAATATAAAATTTATTTTATGCGCAAAACTGATGCAAGGCAGTGTAGTTGAAGATAAGCTGCACACAAGCACAATTGTTATTGTTTTCTTCCCATTGATACCACACAGATAACCATACGGTAAAGAGTACTAGTGGATGCCTAGCCTTTGTATACTTAAAAGTTTTTACTTGCAGTCACACTTTACATATTCTACATCTCCAATCAAACCATTATTACTGGACTGTTAATTCGGGGACCCAGATAATGTCTTGGGAACCCGGGTTCAAACCCTGCCACAGCAGATAGTGGAATTTGAATTCAATAAATATCTGTAATTAAGAATCTAATGATGACCATGAATCCATTGTCGATTGTCAGAAAAACCCATCTGGATCGCTAATGTCCTTTAGGGAAGGAAACTGCCATCCTTACCTGGTCTGGCCTACATGTGACTCCAGACCCATGGCATTGTGGTTGACTCTTAATTGCCCTCTGGGCAATTAGGAATGGGCAATAAATGCTGCCTAGCCAGCGATGCTCTCATCCCGTGAATGAATAAAGAAAAAAAAAATCAGAGTTTCAGCCTGCTGTTATAATCAATGTATAAGGCACACAGGTGAATCCTCAGTTGATGCCCACCACCAGGATACAATTAAACATCTAATTAATATCAAGTAACACAAATGGGCAATTCTCTCACCTTTAACCAGGTCTAATGGAACCTTCAGTAATTTCTCTAACCTTTAAATTGCCAGTCTTAATTATATTATGGAATTGGGAAGGAGGCAGCAAAACCAAGAAAACAATGCCAGATTCTGATACAACCCACACTTTGCAATTGCTGGATATCAAACAGGAACAGAAGCTTTGACTCAAGTGCTGTGTGTGCTCGCATCTTTGATACAAACTCTCTGCTGATATAATTCTCAGCTGCTGTACAAAATGACTCCTGGGGAATCAACTTTATCCCCAGAACAACTATACAGTTCCTAATTTTTAATTAATACACCAAAAATTGCTAACTACAGCCACCAATTTTGTACCACGTTTCCTCTACTCTGGAGGTAATCAGCTAAGAGTTACCATTCAGATTTTCACTTTGAAACTATTAATGTCATCGTTATATGGGGAAAAGTGAAGAAATCCTTTCGCCTCTATGGGACTTCTAAATGCACTACATTTCTTGAAGTTTCAGGACATTGAAGCAACCGCTAAAGTGTCAACTTTCCAGAAAGTATTTACAGCATGGGATATTTGATTTATGTTAGTCTCAGAAATGTGTGCTGTACACCACCACCAGCGCGCCCACCAACTGCTCCCAATTCCCAGACAAAGAACACAGTGTTCTATGTGATGAATGATGATTTGGAATTCTTACCGTTGCAAATTTGTGCCCAAAACTTATCCACTCCTTTTCAATAAGTACTTCAAAACCTTTTGTTGTTCGATAATAGCTATCAAGCATGAGTAGTGCCAAAGAAGTAAGCTGTGCGGTACGGTCCCAGCCATCACTGCAGTGTATCAATGCTGAACTTTTCCCAGATGAAACTTTATCTGCTACTCGAATTGCCCCTGCCAAGACAAACTACAATAAAAATATAAATTGCACAATGTATTTTTAAACAAAATATGGTAACAATACACTTCCAAGAAATAGACAATTCACAGCTTGCACAGAAAACACACCGGTCCAATTAAAGACAGGTTTATTTGTTAAATATTACACTTAATTTAAAATAAATTCAGAGATTACAGTATTATAAGTTATTTGACAAAATCCAGGCTCCTATATGATCATTTTGCATTACTTATTTTGCATTTTAATAACTTCAAAAAAATCAAGTAATGAATGTTGCATATAGCAGAATCACAAACCAACAGTTCTTGCAGAGCAGTTACAGTCGAATCATCTTACCTTAATATGTTCTAACCAGTGCGTTGACTCAAGGCTCGACAGCCAGTGGGATTCTTCGACACTTGGGTACACAATGTCCTTTAATTTCCTCAGAGATTCCCTCATCACGTGAATATTGTGAATGTCGAGAAAGATGACCTCTGCTCTCTGATAGGCATCATCACCTTCATAGCCCCCTCCTGTGGCCTAAAAAAAGTGGATTTTAGTATGGGCTTTCCTTTCAATTACTTACAATGCATGCTGGACAATGTTGACTAAACAAGAAAAGCAGGTGTTGTACCAGGGTGGGTCAGGGCTAAAAATACACACACCCAAAGGTCAACGCAAATTTGATCATATTATCAACCTACTTAATTTAGTAAAATATTCTCTCAATTTATAGGAAGGATTAAATATTAATATCACATTAATGTAATCCACATTAAGAGAGTGAAACATTTAAATTAAAATGTTCTTTACAATTATCTCCATGGAATGGGCCTTTGAATAATATGTTACTAGCTTTTTAAAAGACTTCATGATGTTCAAGTAGAAATTTTAATTCGAAGCTCTAACTCCATTTACAAATTTGCTGATGACACCACCGTAGTGGGTCAGATCTCAAACAACGACGAGACACAGTACAGGAAAGAGATAGAGAGCTTAATGGCATGGTGTAAAGACAACAATCTCTCCATCAATGTCAGCTAAATAAACAAGCTAGTCATCAACTTCAGGAAGCAGAGTGGAGGACACGCCTGTCTGCATTAATAGTACTGAGGTGGAGGTGGTAGAGAGCTTCAAGGTCCTAGGAGCAAATATCACCAATCTATCCTGGTCTATCCACATTAATGCTACTGTCAAGAAAGCGCAACAATGGCTCTACTTCCTCAGAAAGCTAAGGAAATTCAGGACGTCCACAATGACTCTTGGTTGTTGACTTGCTCACTGACCTGGCTGGTTTTTGTTCAGACTTTTCGTCAGTGATAGGTATCATCATCATCAGTGAGGTCTCCAATGAAGTAACGTGTTCTATTTTGCTTGGAATTTACACTGTCCAGTCTGTTATGGTGAGTTGTGTCATTTCCGGTTCTGTTCTGTATGGGTTTGTATGTGGGGTCTGATTCTATTTGTTTATTGATTGCATTATGGGTTGAGAACCATGCCTCTAGGAATTCCCGTGCATGTCTGTTTGGCTTGGGCTACTATGATTACGTTGTCCCAGTTAAATTAATGGCCTTCATTGTCCGCGTGTACTGATATTAGGGAAAGTTCGTCATGTCGTTTTGCTGCTAGCTGATGTTCGTGTATTCTGATGGCTGGTTTCCTTCCTGTCTGTCCGATGTAATGCTTGTGGCAGTAGTTGCATGATATTTTGTAAACTATGTTGGTTCTGCATGATGTGGGTATGGGGTCTTTAACCCTTGAGAGTGTTTGTCGTAGCAACAGAGCAGAAATGGAAATGACACAACTCATCATAACGGACTGGACAGTATAAATTCCAAGCAGAGTGGAACAACATTGCTTCATCAGAGGTCTCACTGATGATGTTACCTAGCATGATGACCAAACATCTGAACGAAAACAAGCCAGCTCAGTGAGCAAGTCAACCTCACTTAGAAATCTTTACAAAAACCTTAAACAATGACTCTTACCAATTTCTACAGATGGACCACAGAAAGCATCCTAGCCGAATGCATCACAGCTTGGTAAGGCAACTGTTCTACCCAAGACCGCAAGAAGTTAGAAAGTTGTGAACGCAGCTCAGTCTATCCCGCAAACCAGCCTTCCTTCCATTGACTCCATTTATACTTCCTGCTGCCTTGGGAAAGCAGCCAACATAATCAAAGGCCCCTGCCACCCAGTTACACTCTCTTCCACCCTCTTCCATAGGGCAGAAGATGCAAAAGTTTGAAAACATGTACCGACAGATTTGAGAACAGTTCTTCCCCACTGTTATGAGACTTATGAATGGATCTCTCATATATTATAGTTGATCTTTCTCTGCATCTTCTCTGTAGCACCAACACCATGTGCTGCATTCTGTTCCATTACCCTGATGTTCTTATGTAAGGGATGATCTGTCTGGATAGCACGCAAAACAATATTTTCCACTGTATCTCTGTACATGATAATAACAAATCAAAATGTTGGCAGCAACTGTTTGCGACACGATATAGTTGGATAGTAATTTTAGATACTTAATGCAGTTAACTATATGGTTTTATAATTAACACTTCAGTACGTGTAATCTGAAGTAGTGTTATCAAATTACTTCATTGTTACAATTAGAAGACCTCAGTTATGTAAACTTCTAAACAATTCTAAACCATCTCCTTCAAGCATGAGGCAGAATTCAATACTGACTGAATTTTCATTTACTTTCAATGTCTTTAATTGCTGTTTATTTATTAGCCTTTATTCTTTTCCTATCTTTTATATTGCTACTTTTGCACATACTTTAAACAATTAACTTTAATTTCAGATTAATCTACAATGGACTATTTTATTATTTCGAACAATACTAGTCTTTGGAGATGGTCTGGCAATGGAGTGACCCAGCCATGCCAGTCTTTTTAATATAGGACAACAGCACAAGCTGATCTTAAAATACAGGTTAGACGAGTATATCAGACAGTATTAGGATTCATACTGATAACCAGCAATGGCATTAATTTTGTGGAAGTGATAAATAGATTAGTCGACAGTTTAAAGAGGGAACGGTGGAAAATGTGCTAAGAATGAAATACAGGGAACTAAAGTGGGATAGGTTTCTTAAGCGATTGCACAATGGGACTCTACAGTAAATGAAAATTGGGACACTTGCTACAAACAGCTCAAGAAATGCAGAGGGGAAAGCTGTCCAAAACGTGAACATCAAGTCTTATTTAATTATTCTTAGATGTCAACAACACTGGCAAAGATGCATTTAATTGTCCTGCATGGATTCCTGACTCTTGTAATGAGTGTACAACTAGGCAGCTTGCAAAAAGCAAAGTAGTAAATGAAAACAGAAAATGTTATGGCTGTATCTGTAAATATTCTTTTGAGAAGTCAGCAACCATATTCTGCTTTTCTCGCCAGAAATGCTGCCAGACCATTATTTCATACTTTCACATAACCAGTTTGCTAGGCTATTGAAGAGGCAGTTCAGAGTGTGAGAATTACAAACATTCTCTCACTCCTAACCTAACTCTCTAATGTGCACTACATCTCTCCATGTACATTGGTACCCACCTTATTGGCTACTGCATTGACGCTTGGTCTTGCATCAAAGATGGTTAACTTCTGGGTCTGCCCATTGGACTCTCTAATAATGTCAAGATACTTTTCATCATCCTTGCTGCGTTTCCCACTCATGCCAACCAGAGGCTGACTACAACGCACAATCACAGCCTGATTGTCAGGATGTATCCAAGATAACACCTGAAATAGATGCAAATATAAATCAGTACAGAAGTTAATTATTTTAAAACTAAATTCATTGCAATTTCAGATGGTCATATCTATAAAATACCAACAGAATACAGCAGCCAGGACTCTAAGATCGTAAAGCACAGGAGCAGAATTAGGCCATTCAGCCTATTGAATCTGCTGCACCATTTGATCATGGCTGATATGTGTCTCAACCCCATTCTCCTGCCTTTCCCTGAAACCCTTGATCCCCTTATTACTGAAGAAGCCTCACTTTGACAATTTCTTTTGGCGCTAAATGAAGGCCCTATAACTATCTATTAACAACGTAACTAATTAAATTCACTGTGCTTCAAAACAGAAGACATGGCAGTGTTCCATCTCCAATCCTAGAAGCCCAAGGTGAACATCTTCATTTGAAAATCTTTTCCAACACACATTCACCTATTGCACAAAATTAGAACATGGGTTATTATTTTAGTTTCTTGTGTATAGACAATGTTTCCATGCTCGACAGCCAATGAAGCTTTTGTTCAATGACCCCCAACGTCATTTGTTATGTGACTACATGGTGCAAAATATTCTATTTTGGCCTTGCAAGAGTCATTTTGTTGGGAATTTGACAGAACTATTTGAAACGTCAAGACGTGACGGGTATTCTATATGGTGTTTTATTAAAGACTTCTAGTGGGAGCCTGGGGTATAGAGGCATTACCAGAGATTAGACTCATGTTCTGGGGGCATGGCTTCCAATCCCAACGTGGCAAATGGTGAAAACAGTTTAAATCTGGAATTAAAAGCTGGTCTAGTTATGCCAGCAAACCATTTTCAATTTCTTTTTAAAAAAAAAAATCAAGTGATTTACTAATGCCCATTACAGGGACATTCTACCATCCTCACCTGATCAGGCCAACTTGTGACTGTAGATCCACAGCAACATGGGCAACTCTTAAACACCATCTGAAATGGCCTGGCTAGCCACTCAGTTAGCCTGGCCACCAGGCATCAACCAAAGCAGCACATGCAGCCCTGTCAACCCTGCAAAGTTATCCTTTCTAAAATTTGGGGGTGTGAGCAAAAACTGGGAGAGCTGTCCCACAGATAGTCAAGCAACAGCCTGACATTTCATTCTTATGGAATCATAGACCTTACAGACAATGTCCCAGACACCACCATCAGTTGGTAAACAATGCCCCTCGAATAGGTTAAATCTACCAGAAGTAGCAGACCAATGTTACACGATTGTGAGGAATTGCCCTGTGAGTCCTCAATATTGATTCTGGACTCTCTACAGTCTCATAGTATCAAGATAAACAGGGCAAGGAAAGGTCCTAATGAATCAGTTAAATACCTGCTGTAGGGGCACCCTACATGGCCAGGGCACAGAATGTACTCTAAGGAGGAGGCTTCAAAACATCACAACAGGTAGCTCAGTAGCACCACTACTGACTAAGATGGGCAAGTCCTAAAGGATAGTGTGATAACATACCACTACTGTTTGGCAACTTGATTTCAAAAGTAGAGGGAAATGGCCTTTTTGGTTTACTTCTGCAACAATGACTTGTTTTTATTTTAAGGGTCAGAAATTTTTTTAAGCACTGAATCAAAATAGCACTTCCAATAAATCAAGTAACCTCAGCTAAATGATAAACTACATGGTGAGACAGTTGAAGTGCTTACTAAATTGAGCTTTTACCACTTTCAGAAGTTGCTGGAAAAGCTCAGCAGGTCTGGCAGCATTTGTGAAGAAAAAAAAATCAGAGTTAATGTTTCGGGTTCGGTGACCCTTCCTCAGAACCCTTTGTGGGTTCGCACGCAGCTTCATTTGTGTGTGCTGGGATGCTTACTATTGAAGTTCAATACCTGGTCTGTGTGTGGGGCTTTTCGGTGTACTTTCGTTTGCAGTTCCCCATTTGTCTTGCGCTCTACCATGACGTCCAGGAATGGGAGTTGTTTGTTCTTCTCCTCCTCTCTGGTGAATTTGATTCCGGTGAGGGTGTTGTTTATGAGTTTGTGGACGTCATGGTAGAGCGCAAGACAAATGGGGAACTGCAAACGAAAGTACACCGAAAAGCCACACACGCAGACCAGGTATTAACTTCAATAGTAACCATCCCAGCACACACAAATGAAACTGCATGCGAACACTATTTAAAAGGGCAACAACACACTGCAGCAACATGGAACTACGCCAAGAGGAGGAAGAATACCTCTTCCAAGTGTTCAAGGATAATGGATATCCAAAGAACTGGGTCAGGAGATGCCTACAGGAACAGCATCAGAAAGATCCTTCACGCCCCAACACACTCATCACACTACCCTACATCAGGAACACATCAGAACTCACCACAAGACTTCTACGACCGCCGGGCATCAGAGTGGCACACAAACCCACATCAACCCTACGACAAGTGCTCACCCGAACTAAAGACCCACTCCCCGCCATGGACAGGACCAATGTCATCTACAAGATCCCCTGCAGAGACTGCGAGAAACACTACATCAGACAAACAGGAAGGAAACTAACAACAAGAGTACATGAACACCAACTGGCTACAAAAAGACACGACCAATACTCACTCATCTCAATCCACATGGACAAGGAGAACCACAACTTCGACTGGGAAAACACCAAGATCCTGGGACAGGCAAGGCAGAGACAAGCACAAGAATTCCTGGAAGCATGGCACTCCACGAAGCAGGCTATTAATAAACACATTGAACTCGACCCCATATACATTCCACTACGGAGGAAACCCGGAAGTGAGGCAATCCATCGCAACGGACCCCAGAGTTTGAAAGCCAGGCAGGAAAACACACCGATGCTTCATCAGAGGTTGCACTGAGGATGTTACCAAGCATGGTAACGAAACGTCTGCGGAACAACAAACCAGCTCGGCGAGCCAAGCAACCTCAACAAGATAACAAGGTGTAGAGCTGGATGAACACAGCAGGCCAAGCCGCATCAGAGGAGCAGGAAAGCTGACGTTTCCAGTCTAGACCCTTCTTCAGAAATGTATTTAAGAGACTGATAGCTTCTTAAACAGAAACTGCCAGAAAAACTCAGCAAGTCTGGCAGTATCCGTGTTCTGAAAAAGTTCTGATGAAAAGCCACTGGACCTTAAACGTTAACTCTGATTTCTCCCACAAATGCTGCCAGAAGTGTTGAGTTTTTCCTGCAATGTCTGTTTTTGTTTCTGATTTCCTGCATCCACAATTCTTTCCTTTTGTTTATAGATAGGTTCTTGATTAGTAAGGGATTGAAGGGATACAGGGAGAAGGTAAGAAAAGGCAGGAGAATGGGGTTGAGAAACATATCAGCCATGATCGAATGGTGGAGTAGACTTGATAGGCAGACTGGCCTAATTTCTGCTCCTTTATCTCATCATCTTAAGAAAAAGTACAACAAACAGTTGAGATATGATACTATAGAGGGTATGAATACTGCCAAATTTTAAGCAGGCTGTCTTATTCAAACGGTTAACACTTCAGACAAATTCTGGTTTCACAAGACAACATTCCTTCAGTTGTAGTGTGTATGGTCAGATCAAAATTTTACTCACAAAGCAATTTTAATACCTGCAACACAGTTTTTAACTACACTAAAATCTGAAGTTTAGGTGGGATACAGGGAGGGTGGGCACTCTGCACCAATCGTTAAATCCTGGCACTGCAAATCATAGCTCATTTATCCTTGCTTTGTATAGAGTGAGACAACACATTCCATATTTCTATTTTTACATGACCAACTGTTGAAGAAAGGAACCTCCATCTGGGTATGAAAAAAAATCCTGCCTTTTTCAATAATTAAGCATTCAATGAAATTAATAACCTCATTTTTCAGATGCCAAAAATTTTACCAAAGATACCTGAAGGAAAAATATTTTTCATATCTATGCATTGACACTTCAGAATGAATTCTGCACTAGAATGGCATACAATGTTAAGTCAATAGAATACTATTCAAAAAATTCTATTACTAAAAATATTCCTTCCCCAAAGATTGTTCAGTCAAAGCCCAAGCTTTTGGGAGAAGCTAAAACCATCAAATTTAAACTTAAATGACAACAGTTAAAACACAAAGCAAAGTTCAGTGGATTCATTTAATCATGTAGTGAATCATGGAATTTGTGTTTGTTAAACTCATTTTATATACAAGAAACTTTAGTTACTGAAGGACATGCAAGCAGATGAAAAACAGCGATCACAAGGTGAGATGTTTTACAAAAGAAACTGCAGAGTTGCAAAAAGGCAAGCATGGCCCTTTTGACATTGGAAATGGCTGTCAGAACACCACTTACAGAAGTGAATGAGATTTCAATATTGTACACACCCACACACTATATTTAGTACAGTCAGATAATGCTGATATATACAGTAAAAACATTACCTTTTTAACAAGTTAATTAAAAAATTTCACGCAGTTCAACTGGGAATTTTGAAAAGTGAAGAACAAGCTAGGCTGGAGAATAGAAACTGAGGAACTTTTGGAAACAGTACAACATTTTCAAAGATTCCTTAATAATTTCCTTAAAAATAAATTCAGTCCAAGAGGTAAATAACTGGATAGCTATCACCGGATATTATGTATTATTTATTCTTGCTATACCCACCGGTAATCGTCCCTTAGACCTAAAGGCTGCAACTTTTCGCAGATCATCATCACTGGCACTGGCTGGAACCGCTAAGATTGGTGGATAAGTGTCACAAAGCTCATAGTTTTGATTTATGTTTGTGATTCTCCATTTTCGTTTTTCATCTGGTAAACCCTGCAGGAACATAAAGTGAAAACAAATATCAATAACGTTACTAAAGGGCAACCAAAAGCATCAGTCATTATGCCCATAATTGCATAAGTGAACTTTCTCTTGTGAAATATTAACTAAAACATCAGGCGTAATGTTATGCTTGCATCAGCATTTCTGTATGCTGCAGATGGAAACATTACACTGCCTATTATTGAGGTAGTCTGCCCAATGTAATATAAGATGGATCTCTTTGAATAAGATTTAATCTCCAAGAACAAGGAGTTATTTGAGCTCAAAATGGGAAGGAAACAATTGAGATGTTACACATCCGGAAATTCTTCAAGGGAGAGCATCCCACATGATTTCTTTCCCTCTACTCTTGACGTGACAGAACCTCCATTTGCACATAGAAATTGAACAAAGAATAGAAGCCAGATAACAGTAAACCAAAAATGATAAACTGAGTTGATTATTTGGAAGGGTAGGATCTGCTCTGCTCAAAAGGGAAAAAAGAGCAGAGGAGGGGAAAGAGTATTTTTCTCCCTTTTTTAAAAAATTCTTTTGTGGGATGTGAGCATTACCAGCAAGCCCAGCAATAAATATTAGATATAAGCAACAAATACCAGCCATGTTGGCAATGCCTACACGCCATAAAAGAATAAAGGAATAAAAACGTCTTATGAAAACCATTATGCTCAGGAGAACTCTGCTCAACATGTTGAGGGAACAAATATCTGTTTCTTACGAATACAAATTACACTTAAAAGAAAGAAATATGGAATTTTCTTGAAATTAAGATTTCATTTCAGAGACTAGTGGAATGCTTGGTACAAGAGTTATGCTCCCTAGACTTTCTTTTCTGATTCGCTGTAGCTGCCTCAGCTAACCACGAGAATACTAAAGCACCAGAAATTGGGATCAGAGGATTTAATTTAGTGACATATTTCTAGAAGGCTGGACAAAGTTCATTTCAATGCTTACTAATTCATGTGTAGAGAACAGTTACTATTCTGTTTCAAGAATAGGATAAGTAAAACTACTGTATTGACCTCAGTCTAGTAAGAGTAGTTAATACCATTAAAAATGCCTCTATAAAACAGAACAGGCTTTTTGGTTTCGAACGGGTACAAAAAAAAAACAATTAACATTCTTGCAATCATAGACTGAGTCAATTGCTGGACAACTTACTGTGAAATCTTTGAATGAAAATCATTCACTTAATCTTATACATTATTCACAAAAACTGAACAACTCCAATAACTGGAGCTGGAACTGTTCTTTAATGTTCAACAATCTACAGCCCTGCCATTCTGCCCATATTTATATTAAATGGGTTAACATCATCCGCCTTCCACCCACATTAACATAGTTCGAGTATAATCTAATCATGATTTTTATGTAGCAGAACAGCATTATTGTTTATCCTTGTGGTAGTATTGGTAACAAATTCATCTTTTGTACCAGAATCTACATAGATCCAGTAAGCTCTCACTAATTTCAGATGAATAAGTGATAACCAGATCACAACTTTCAATTAACCGAATTTATTAAACTGTTGAAGGTGGCTGAATAAATCCGCAGATTATTTGTGCTGTGGATGGAGTAGTTTATAACCTCACCTAGCACTGAGGACAGTTGAGAGGCCACCAATTAATTCTAATGAGACCAAAGGAACAGGAGATGGATGAAATGAGTTTGCAGAAGGCTTGTGAAGAGGGAAAAGGAAGATATACACTCAGGGATGAAGTAGGTCTGGTTGAGGATTGGGACAGAGTGGTTGGTAAGGAAAAAAAAAAAACAGGCAGTTTGACTGGATGGTCTCGATATTGGTGGTAAAGAAACAAACATTTACTGTAACTGAGGTGGGAAGAATTGGGGAGAGGGGCTTGAAGAAACAATGGGATTGGAGAAAATAAGCTGGAGGTCATTTCTGTTCTCCAATACGATCCCAAGAGAAGTGGGCAGAGCAGAGTGCAGCCCAATAGCTCTTGATGCAGTCCAGCCAGATCTGGAGACAAATTGTTGAAACACTTATGCACTGGGGCGTGCAAATTCACAAAGGAGCAAAGTGGAGGGTGGGGGCCTGTAAATCTGTGTCAACTTGATGGGAGAGAGAGTAAAGGTTTTCTGTGGACAAAGAAAGCGGCCAGTAAACTTGGCTTTAGTTTTTAGCTGTTGAATGATGCAAAGCAAATTCAATTTTACCTAGCTCATGGAATTCAAAGCGGAACACAACTCCATCAGTTCTGAAAGCAACTCACCTGCCTCTTAAATTCTTCAATTGGAACATAAACTTTCCAGCCATCTTCAGGATAAGTTTCTTTATTTTCAAATGCAAAAAATTGCTGAAAGAAATGCAACAGTAATTGTTAGGACAAGTGTTAAAACTCTGGTTAATTTTCTATATGACTACAAAATCTTCTTGCTACATTTTAATGGAATATTTAACCTGACTTCTTGGGCAAAGGAAAGCTCAAACAATTCACGTTGGAGTTGGCAAACTGCACTACTCGAGCCTTTGATGGTAGTACTTTCAAGTGAAGCTACTTTGTTTCTAATACTGGCTAGTTTCAGAAAGAGATCAAAAGCAGAATGGAAAAACGATGCTACCATCAATTCCTCCGGCTTTCCATTCATTCTTCAAATGACTTAAGACATTAATGGTCTTGGTTCTTTTAGATTTTATTTTAATAAGCATGCTCTAGGAGGCTACATCCATAATATCACACACAGCAAGTTTTGCTCATTTCAAAAAAAAAACGCTGTAATGCCTGATATATGTATTTGCGGCTTTTAGCAAATGCAAGTGAGCCACATCTGACTGATATTATTAAATTGGTTGAGAAATTATGCCAACACTCAATTAAAGATAATCAGGCAGCTAACTCAGTTAGTAAAGTGAGAGACTCAATCTCAGGGTCGTGAGCTCATGCACCATTTACATTTAAACGTTAAGGGCTCTTGTGGCACAGAGGTAGTGTCCAATGTCTGTGACAGCTGTTATAGATAACGCAGCGTGGAGTTGGAGGAACACAGCAGATAAGGCAGCAGAGGAACAGGAAAGTTGATGTTTTGGGAAGGGTCCCGACCCGAAACTTCAACTTTCCTGCTCCTCTGATGCTGCCTGCCCTACTGTGTTCCTCCAGCTCCTCATTATGTTATCTGACTCCAGCATCTGCAGTTCTTACTATCTCCGAGATGGCTGTTGCTCTCTTTCTAATGTTTCCCATATTTCTGCACTATAGCGTGGTCTCTCAACTGTCTTGTAGCTTTCTAATGATATTTTTCTATCACATAACACTCCATGCATTTTGAAGTTGTAATTTAAAACAGTAGCCATGTGAGTAATCAACTCCAGAGGTGTGTTGTAACACATCTGAACAGATGGTATAAAAACATCTAAAAAGGAACATGTACAGCAAGTTTTATTCTTCTGAGCTTCTTTCTTGAGCTTTTCCACAAAGTAATCAGACATAAACAAGTCCATTTCTAACACTCTGAGGAGCAGGAAGTGTTCATACTAATTCACCACGACAAACTCCAAGTGCTGTGTGCCATTTACAGACCCCTCAAACTTTACAGAATTAAAAAACATCCAATCAATCAGTTGAGTAATTGTTTATGTGGGCTCCTTCCCAAATCCACATTTGTTCAATTACTTTGGCACCAGTCACTGTATGAAGCCAAACTCAAATGGAAACATACAAAGAAGAATAAGTTAATAGTAAAAGTTTGCATCTTGCAAAATGACCTTTTTAGAATACACTTCATTTCAAATTGCAGGACAATCCACCAACAACTCAAAAATAGCAAACCTTTTGTTAAGTTTTAAACTTTAAAAAGGTATCTGACCAGTAATGCCAGTGGTATAATTCGTTGGAGGTCAACGCGGTGATGACTCAAGAATGGTCTGGAGAAGACAGGAGAAATTTGCTGAAGGATAAAAAATGCTGGGTAAATGTTACAGGACTGATTTGAAGACAGACATATAGCATGGAATAGGATACAGAGTACGGCCATGGCTACTGTTTTCAGTTACAACTTCAAAATTCAGTGGGGGTGTTATATGATAGAAAAATGGCATTAGAACTAAACGGAAAAAACTACAAGACAGTTGAGACCACCCTGAAGTGCAGAAATGTGGACAAAGTCAAAAAGACAACAACTGGATACAAACAGATGAAGATACTAATACAGTGGGATCAAAGAAGATTCTAGAAGCACTGACGATGGTAATCAAGAAGAAATGAAATTCTTCTGGGAGAGGAAGATCTGCGGCAAAGCAAGTAATGGAGACCGAACATTAGAAAGAAGGCCCAAGGTCAGATAGAACGATGCTGCCGAGAGAGACTTAAACACAACATTACGAGAAGAGGAATGGGTGTTTCAGCAAACGAGAGAGAATGATAGTCAACCAGCATTGTGGCAACGCCTAGTAAAATTGGAAAAGTTCAAACATGATTAAAGAATATTTCCATCATTATGTGAAATGGACACAATAGAAATTATCACAGCATTTCAGCAACAATCATCTGTTTTGTTATCACATCACTGAATTAAGTTCAAAGATAAAAATAGTTTGCAGGTGAGAAATCTCAACAGTTAGTCAGACCACAATTTTAACAATGTTACATGAAACCTTACTGCAAATTGTTTCCGACAACTTCAGTTCATTCACGAATTAGTGATTTTAAAAAAAACTGAGAATAATGTGAAAACATGTTTGATCCTTCTCAAAGCACACAACTGCTAATTTCATCCAAACTGCTCTCAAGAGCCACTCACTGGATTCTGGCTCTTTCCCATAAAAGTGGAAGTGTCTTCCTCTTGGTTACCACCTTGTACTTATGGCTTAGATCCAAGGTAAGAGACATACGTCAGCTATGGCTCAGTGGCCAGCACAGTCACTTGATTTATAAAGTTTGCGTTCAAGGCCTACTTAAAAGAGCAGCAGATCTTCCAATCTCACAATGAAGGGGTGCTGCTTGTAAATGAGAAATTAAATCAAGGTCCCTCCATCCCCTCAAGTGGACATAAAGTTATTTTAGCACTGGAGGAAGTAATTTGACCCATCCAGTCCATTGACATCTCTCTACTGAGGAAGCCAATCAGTCCCATATCCTCACTCTATTCCTATCGCCCTGTAAGTTTATTTTACTTAACTCCCATCCAGTATCCTTTTGAAACTATTCACTGTTTCCACCTCTATCACCCTGATAGGCAGAGAGTTCCAGAACATTACCAATTGTTGTGGAAAAATAGAATATTTTTCCTACATCTCTTACCCAAAACTGAATGCCCATACTGAAGGAAACAAATTTTCTATGCTCAATTTATCTAAACTTGTCAATATTGTACACTTCTATTAAATCTCAGCTCAATTTCCTGTACTCCAAAGCACAGCCAAATCCTGTAGCTAAAATCCATTATCCTTGAAACCATTCTGGCAAATCTCTTCTCACTTTCTCAAGGACTAGCACATCTTTCTTAAAAGTGTGGTGAACAGATCTGGACGCAATAGCCTCTCAGTGCTTTGCAAAAGTTTGCATAAGTTTTGCACTCAAAAACTCTATTTATGAAGCCCAAGATCCTACATACCCTGTAAACTGATATTCCAATATGCCCTGTCACCTTCAAAGGTCTATGTATAAAATTCTATGGCAGTATATGAAAATAAAGACAGACTGGCATACTGACTATTACTTACCCCAAACTGTTATTAAAACAAATTATCAAGCCACCGATTTCACTGCTATTTATGGGAGGTGACTGAGACAAGCTGGCTGCCATGCTTCCTACAACAGTGACTACACTTCCAAAAAATCCTTCATTGGCTATAAATTTATTTAGGACACCCTGAAGACATGAAAAGTACTACATAAATACAAGTTCTCTGTTCTTTCACAAACAGCAGTTTGAGTGTAGGTCACCATTAACTCTACAAAAGACAAAAAACAACTGCATGTTCTTACAAAAATAAAACTCACCTCTTGTAAAATTTGCTTGACCCTAGTGCTCGGAGAAGGTTCACTTTCCGAGGTACAAATGTCAGGAAGATGTCAAAAGAAACCAAATTTGTGGGGGTAGATCAAAGGACAACACTGTGCACATTTTTATTTAAACATTTCCCACTATTCCCATCTCCCGACCAACGACCACCACCATCCTAAATCAAACAAAGATCTTAAGCAGGAACTTCTCAATGTTGAACTCCACCAGCAATTAAAATCCTGATCTCCATCCTTATGGCACAACTAGAGGATTGCTATACCTCATTTTGTGCCATTTCCCTGGTCTCTGGTATGGACTGGCCTGCATTAAGATAACTCTAAGGTACACAAATTCCTTCAAACTTGGTGCGAGAGACAGCAGGAAATTCCAGCCTACAGTTTCAAAAGCATTTCATTTCTCAACTAATTAGGAATGGAACTCAGGAGGGGCCAACAGGAAGGCAAACATAAGAAACAGAGCAAAACATAGTCATGCAGGACATCAGTTGTTTGGGTTACGATATACTGCTGCAGCAGTGGAGAAGAACTTCACTCTTTTAAACAAACTAAAGGACCAACATTGTGTGGCCAAGTAGAAATTCTATTGACAGTGGTAAGTATTCAACATAAAAAGATAAAATGCAAGAAATGTTTCTCAAAAAAATCAGAGATAAATATAATTCCACAAGCATCAGGGGAAACATTGCACAAAAACAAAATATCACAAGATAATTTTAAAAATGCACAGAAGTCAATCTTAATATGTATGAAACAAGTCAATGATGATCTTTCTCCATTTGAAAGCAATTGATTCCATCCCTGCTCCAGACTTCAGCATTTCATCTACGTTGACACTTCAAGGTAGTAATGACTGAATATTCCACTATCAGAAATATTAATCTTTCAGGTAAGATTTGAAACAGATCCAATCTACTTTTCCAAGTGCAAACATCAACAACATTATTTGAAAAGAAGTGGATGAGTTCTTCCAATCATGACCAACATCCTAAGAACAAACTAACTGGTAATTTATCTAGTGTGGCATCTGTGATACCTTTTGTTTTGTACAAATTGGCTAGCACTACAATGTAGTAATATTCCCAATAACATTTGAGCTAAAAGCATAAGAAATAGGAGGACTACACCATCCAATCACTTCACCATTCAATAAGAACATGGCTGACCCTTTATTTTAACTCCATTTTCTCACAAGATCTATTTCTCTCAACTTTCCTGGGTCTCAAAAATTAATAGTCTTTGTCTTAAATATAACCAAAGGTTGAATGTCCATAGCTCCCTGGAATAGCCAAAAACAACAATTCACAACCCTCAGTGAATTTCTGATCTTATCCTAA